GGCCGAGGCACTACATCTTGCGGGTTTACAAGCTGGAGCTCTTCGCAAAGCCACTTGCACAGCAAACTGGTGTCGTAGGCTTTGCCGGTGCGTGAGGGGTAGTCCCCAGACATCCTTAGGCTATGAACAAATGCAACTCGAAACTTGTCCAAAGCTGACCCCGAAACAGACATCCGGAAGTCTCAAACAATTTTCTGCCCAGATTCGACTGCATCTTGAACTTGCCCAAGTCAAACGTTTTGATCGATGAGGATTTTTTGTTGGCCGCGCACCAAGCATCAAACTTATCATAGGCTGTGTCAAACCTTACTGGGCCAGAGCGCCCTGCAAACACACGCATTCGCAGTAGGGCTACCAACCCTGAAGCAGCAAGGTCCCCTCCAACTCCCAAGTTGAAGGCGTGCATGAGGTCCGGCTTTATCGAGAAGACATTGTCTGCCCCCGGTATCATGCGGATTGGGGCAAAGGTGCCCGTCTTGTACGGGTCAGGCACTTCTCCCTCAAAGGTTCGGAGTTGCCCCTGCGGAGTCATATTCCACCATTCCTTGGGTGATGAGGGCCCCGAAAGCTAGACTCCAACCCCCATCCCAAACAGTTGCAACAATGCAGTTTGACTTAGACTCATATTATGGCAAGCGTCATCTCCTGGACAAAGATGGCAAACCCGGGCGCTGGTCGGGCCCACTTGCAATCCGTAGCATTTTCTCAACCAAGGCCAATCTCCTTTCGACCCAGCAAATACCAAGAAGAACCGGGAAGTCTCTTTCCGATCATCCTTGTGGCCAAAGCGTTGCAAGTAAGTAGTTTCCTACTTCCAGCCAAACCTAGACATGGTCTTCAGTATAGCTATGCCAAGGCACTGTGCTGAGCTCGACTTCTACGCCATTCTCAAAGAGCTGGCACGCATCGTCCGCCATCGCTTGGTGGAGGCCGTCAACGGTTGCTTCCCCCTTTGTAAACCATGATGAAGGGATCAAAGAATACAGCAGCCTTGTTGTGAAGCTGTGCCTTGGTTACTGGAACATGGAAGAAGGTATGTTGCAGGGCAACCTTCCTGAAACTAATTGCAACTATAATTGTTTGACATGTTGCGGGGCGAGATTCAAGTTGTCAGGGCCAGTAAATGGGATAAGGACTTGGTAGCTCAACACTAATAGCGGAACTTTACACAACCCTCTTCCTTCGTCTCCATGCCAGGCGTATGGTATACACCTCCGCCTTTCCTCGTCAGATTTCTGGCTGTAGATAGGATGGGATGGTTGGATAGTTTGGAAATTACTCCAAAATGTAGCGAACATGTCACCATACTCTTGCTCATCGCGCAGTGGGGTGAAGCCACCAAGGAAGAACTTGGGGCAGTCCCGCATGATGGCCCGAAACCAACTTGAAAGATAAATCGCTGGCTGGTTTCCCGTGGTGTTTTGCAGCTTCCTGCCACCTCGAACCTTCTTGCGGATACGCATTGGCAGGGTAACGTTGGAGATTGTCACACCAAAGGTCCGGCCGTCCCGATGAACGAGTCTGTGAAAATCTCGAGCAGCATTTGCTCCATATTTCTTGCCAGTCTTGGATTTCCGGTACCGCGCAATTCGAGAAATATCTGGGTCCACCACACCTCAATCCATGACAGAAACCCTTCAGAAGGGATGGCTATATGGATCTATATGGAAAGAGGGCGGTGCCAAGCCCTAAGCTTCAGGGGGGGGCAATCCTCCTTTCCACAACTTACCCCACGCAGACACGGCGCAAAACTCGGCACCCCTACCGCCAAAACAAAGAAATGGGCGTTACAGAACCTTATATGTAATGATTTCGTGGCGCCAGTACCTCTTCCTACCCCAAAATGATTGAATAAAGATAAGGCCTCTTTTTGTGGATGCCAACATTGTTTGGGCACCCTTGGACCATTGTAGACAAGTCACCCAACTTCTTCATGCGGTTGCAGGCTGAGTTTGCAAGTCGGATAGCCGCCCTTGCCGAGGTAGCCTCGGCAAAGGCCGCGTGTGTAGATCAAGCATGTGCTGGCTTTATAACCTCCAACCTCTTAAAGACCAGGAAGCTCCGCTTTCCATGCCCTCCATCAAGGCATCAACAAGGTCATCAGAATCAGATTCTTCAGGGTGTTCCGGAGCCCCCATTCCTTGGACATGTTTGACACGCTTGAAGACGCTACACCACCGCGGCTCAGGCCAACACCCTGCACGTCCCAGGCATCAAGGCCTGCGAGGGATTTAGCAGAGCAAGGGAATGCAACAAGTTGGAGCTCCAGCTGCTCACTTGGCAGCACGCGCATGACCTCCATTTGTTTAAATCCCCTAGAGCAAAAAATATGTCAAGAAATGATAGATTCCCTTTGAAACCAATTAACAGGGGGGAATATCAAAACTCTTAAGCAAATGGAAGTCGAATACAGTGACGAAAAGAAGCATTTTTTAACCCCGTGGGCAAATGTTCCAATCACTTGCCAAGCCATCAGACTTCTGCGCAGCAACTCAGGCACACCTGAAGCAAACAAAGCTTTTATACATGGCTTTCCGATAAACATTTAATTGTTTTCAGGACCCCACCTGTTTGCTGCCAGTTCTGATGGTATCACTGCGACCGCTTCTTGTGAGCTTTGGCCTTTGGCTTCTCATCCAGAGCCTTGGGCTCCGTTTTGACTCCTTTGCGCATCTTGCGCTTCACCGGCTTTGATCCCTGGCCAGGCTCACAAGACCGCTTGGTGCCAGATGATCTCTCTGATGGAGCTGGCTTCGCAGGCACGGTGGTCTTCATATTCCTCAGGCATCACTGGTTCAGCTAAAGCCCGTTTAATCTATCCGGAAAGGCATGAATCAAAATTCCGCAAAGGGTCTTGCTCCTGGTGATGTAGTTGTTCAGAGTCACATCATACTTTGTGCACTTGTTGTACAAGTCAAGCACTGAGGATTTCAGCTGCGAGGCATCCCTGACCATGAATGCTGAGATAGGTTCAACTAGCAAAAGTGACCATGTGCACCTTTTCCATGTTTCAAGCGTTTGCCTAATAACATTTCAGAATGCCCGGCTTCACTGGGTCCATCGAGAGATACTCGGCTTGCTTGTTGCTCAATTCGTTATAGTACCCGTTCATTTTCTGCAGAATCTCCTGCATGTGCTTAGCAATCCTCAGCATTGCTGGTCCAAAAGAGGGCATGCATTCGCAGGGCGAAATGTGGATATGTGCATCCGAAAGGCTCGCCGGCCCGGGGATTTTGTTTCTCTTCCAGTTTTTCCTGTCATGGACCCCTCTTTCAACAAGTTGCAACAGCAATCCTGTCCTGGGCGATGGTGGCGTTGTCCACCTTTTTCCCAAGCACTTGCAGCCACGTGGGCAAAATCGTGAATGGGGTGTCGTGCTTCTGGAGGGCAGGAAACACAATCCTCACGCACAAAGTGCATAGAAAAGTGGACAGCAAACCCATATGACATG